AAAAGCAAGTTCAAGAGCTCATGTCAAAAGGATACATCAGAGAGAGCCTAAGTCCTTGTGCAGTTCCTGTCCTTCTAGTGCCAAAGAAAGATGGTTCATGGAGGATGTGTGTTGATTGCAGAGCTGTCAACAATATAACCATCAAGTACAGGCATCCCATCCCAAGACTTGATGATATGCTGGATGAACTCAATGGAGCCACTATCTTCTCCAAGATTGATCTAAGAAGTGGTTATCACCAAGTGAGGATGAAAGAAAGAGATGAATGGAAGACTGCCTTCAAGACCAAAAAAGGGTTGTATGAATGGCTTGTTATGCCATTTGGCCTCACCAACGCCCCCAGCACATTCATGAGGCTCATGAACCATGTCTTAAGGGCATACATCTGTAAGTATGTAGTTATCTATTTTGATGACATACTGATTTACAGCACCTGCTTAGAAGATCATCTCAAACATCTAGAACAGGTTCTTGAAACACTTAGGTTGGAGAATCTTTATGCTAATCTTATGAAATGCACCTTTTGCACTGATCAAGTTGTGTTTTTTGGATTTTTTGTAAGTTCTCAGGGTTTAAAAGTTGATGAAGAAAAGATAAAGGCTATACAAGATTGGCCAACTCAATCAACTATTGGACATGTAAGGAGTTTCCATAGGCTGGCAAGTTTTTATAGAAGATTTGTCAAGGATTTCAGCACCATTGAAGCCCCACTCACGTCAGTTATCAAGAAGAATGTTGCATTTAAATGGGGAGAAGCACAAGAAGAGGCGTTCAACAAGCTCAAACACAGCCTCACCCATGCACCAGTTTTGGTATTGCCTAATTTTGATCAGACTTTTGAGATTGAATGTGATGCTTCAGGAACTGGTATAGGAGCTGTCTTGACTCAAAGAGGACGTCCAGTAGTTTTCTTTAGTGAGAAGTTCAATGGAGCAGCCTTGAACTACCCCACTTATGACAAGGAGCTTTATGCTTTGGTGAGATCTCTTGAAACTTGGCAACACTATTTATTATCTAAAGAGTTTGTCATTCATACAGATCATGAGACTCTTAAACACTTAAGAGGACAAACTAAACTTAAGAAGAGACATGCCAAATGGCTGGAGTTTGTAGAAACCTTCCCTTACATTATCAAGTACAAGAAGGAAAAAGAAAATATAGTGGCTGATGCTCTTTCCAGGTGCTATGCTCTCATCACCACTATGGAGGCTAAGGTAATGGGTTTTGAACATATTAAGTTGCAATATGAAACAGATCCTGATTTTGCAGATACATACAAAGAGTGCTACAAAGGAGCTGTAGGTCCATTCTATCAGCATGAAGGTTTCTTGTTCAGAGACAAGAGATTGTGCATTCCACAAGGTTCCATGCGAGATTTGCTGTTAAGAGAATCACATGGAGGTGGTTTAATGGGACACTTTGGAGTAGACAAGACGTTGAGCATTGTAGTGGAGCATTTCTTCTGGCCTCATCTTAAAAGAGATGTTGAACGGTTCTGTTCCAAGTGCATCATCTGCCTTAAGGCAAAATCCAGGTCATACCCTCATGGTCTTTATCTTCCATTGCCTATACCTAATATGCCTTGGGAAGATGTTTCTATGGATTTTGTACTAGGTTTGCCCAAGATAAGGAACAAGGACTCCATCTTTGTGGTGGTGGACCGATTCTCTAAGATGGCACACTTCATACCTTGTGCAAAGACCAATGATGCTACACAGACAGCTGACTTGTTCTTCAAGGAGGTGGTACATCTACATGGTCTACCACAGACCATTGTCTCAGATAGAGACACCAAATTCCTCAGCCACTTCTGAAAAACGCTTTGGAGGAAGCTAGGGACAAAGTTGCTATTCTCCACAACATGCCATCCCCAAACAGATGGCCAGACTGGAGTTGTCAACCGCACATTATCCACCCTTTTGAGGGCCACCATTGGTAACAACTTGAAAAATTGGCTGGACTGTTTACCATTTGTTGAGTTTGCTTATAACCGTGTCCCACACTCTGCTACTAAATTCTCTCCTTTTGAGATTGTTTACGGTTTTAAGCCTCTCACACCACTGGACCTTTCTCCACTTCCACAAAATGAGCATGCCAGCCAAGATGGAGATAGGAAGGCTGAGTTTGTTAAGAAGTTGCACCTCAAGGCAAAGGAGAATGTAGAGAAGAAAACACTTCAGTACAAGAGAAAAGCAGACAAAGGGAGGAAAGAAGTCACCTTTTAACCAGGAGATTGGGTGTGGTTGCACATGAGGACATAACGTTTTCCCACTCAAAGGAAGTCCAAACTTTTGCCAAGAGGAGATGGACCATTCAGGGTGCTAGAACGTGTCAATGATAATGCCTACAAGCTGGAACTTCCAGGTGAGTTAAACATTTCTCCCACTTTCAATATTACTGATTTATCTCCTTTTGATGTGGCAGAAACAGTTCTGAAGTCAGAACCCTCTCAAGAGGGAGGGAATGATGCGGACATCAAACCTGAAGTAGTGATTCCAACAATGGGGTTTCCACCAAGGACAAGAGCTGGTACAAAAAGACTTCAAGAAGAGTATAATCAAGCTGTGGAGAGTCTAATAAGCCAACAAGCACTTGAAGAAATAACGGACCAACTTGACAAGCTTGCCATCACTTCAACGGACACTTCACAGGAGACACTTGAAGACCAAATCACTCAAGTTCATGAGACACACCAGCAGGACGGTCCATACATCAAATTCAACTCACATGAAGTAGTTTGGCCGGTTATATCATCCAACCAAGAAACCACCTTGTTTTCCATCAAACCGAGCTGAATCAAAGCAAAGGAGAGATCAAACCGGATTTCCAAATGTACCAATCCGCCCACAGCAAACCAAGGTAAGTTTCTGAATCATTTATATCATATTTTTGACTAATCCTTGTGTTTATGTTTGTTTAATCTCAACAGCTAAATCCCTTAAAATTAGCTATCTTTTATTTATGAACTTTTGTATTTCTTGCTTTGACTTTCCTTTGATTTTGCATTTTTGATTCTTGCATTAATTATTGTAATAAATTGGCCAAGGAAGCCCTCAGCTGCTTGAACCATATATAAGGTTCCATACCCCCTTGATCTTATATCAGACACAATCGTAGTCTCTCTAAACTGTATGCATGTAGGCAATCATTCTCCCCATTAATTCGCAATCAGGGTTGAGGAGTCTTTCTAGAAAACTGTTAGCATTTTCATCAAGGACTCTGAATTTAGAGACCATGAGGAAGTATGATCGGTTCATCATCATCAAGGGACATGGATCGGATTGCTGTATGTAACACGTCGGCCATCGATGATTTTGCAGCAGGGTTGTGGTTGTGGATGCAGAGATCACGATGGCTAGGGGGAATCTTGGATAGTAGGTCTACCGTAGTATGGGTAAATTTGCCATTATGTGGGCAATATTCAGTGATAATTTTGAGGGAAATCATGATTTAAAAAGAGGAAAAAAATGAAAGATTTGGTATAAGAAGAGGATTAAAGGGAATGGAAAAATGGTACCAAAATATCTAAATTTTCTGCTTTTATCGTTGCAATTCAGTCGGCTTGAGGATCCACTCCTAAAATGGAGAGATAATTGAAAAAGGAGATGGAAGGCTGAACCCTATATTCCCACTAGAGGTGTCTAAGCAAAAAAGAGTTGACACATCCTTAAAAATAGTTTCTAAGAAGATTATGTTCTCACTGCCCGAGAAGAATTCTTCAGAGCTATATTATGGGATTACTCCGTCGTTTCACTCTCCATACGTAAACTCTTTGCACGGGTTTTGATAACATAGCATGTTATTTAGTTTTAATTGTATGGTTGAAAAAGATATATAGTTTAACTATATTTTGTGAAAACATATTAGAAACTAGGCTTTTTATTTATGTCAATTCTATTATACCCTTAAAATGTAAAATATGTTGAACTTTAAATAAACAAATACTGGAACACCACTAAAATAAAAAGGGATCTTCTGATTTTTGACCTAAACATCTACCTTATCTAGAAACTTATGTTTAGTATTGATTAAAAAAAAATGTTCCGTTTTGTTTTTCTTTTTATTTTTTTACTATTGTTTGCTTCATCATCCATCGATATGTTATCCAAGAGCGGTGACTTGTTTTCACTAAATCGGCCAATAATTTTAAACAAGAACCTGGAGTAATCTGAATCAACCTCCATCGTGAAACTAACCCAGTTTCCCATTTTCTTTTTACTACTTGAGATTACATTGGGTGTGGGATGGTTTTCATTTGACACGATCTTTCACTAGTAAAAAAACTGACAATAACCACAAACTAATTCGTAACTAAGGCAAAAATACTGTGGTTATACGAAAAGTTACGAAAAACAATGTTTAAACGATCATAACTAATATATTACATGACTTTTCGTAGCTACACAACCACAAATTAGTCACTATTGTTTTTGTGGTAACATTGGTCATGAAATAGCCACGATTGTTCGTGTTTACATAGCCACAATATATTCATGGCTACTCTATGACTAATATAGCCACACAATATTACTGATGAATTCGTGACTAATCTAGCCACACACACATAATTCGTGACTATGTATTAAACCTGAGAAAAAAACATATTTGTGATTTTTGATAATGAAATCATATGCTAAAATGCTTAATGCTAAACTGAAATGTTAAAATAATGACAAAATGCTAAAACGGAATAATAATAATCAATATCATACATGAAAAAATTATCCAACATCTAAACATTCAGGGCTCAAGCTTTTACAAGTTTAATTATAAAACAAAAAATAGTTACTCTCCTAATAAAGCAGCACACCACTTATCTAGTGGGGATTGTTCTTGAGTCGGGTTTGTGGTCTTAGCATGATGAGCTGAAGGTGTAGACACATCAGCGGGAGGAGGATAAGCTGTACGGGCAGCAGCAGGAGGAGGAGTGGTTCCAACCTTTTGTAATAATGCATTTAATACGGCCAATATTTCATCCTTGACCGTGGCCAACTCTTCCCTCAATCACTCTTCATCGCGACCACATCTTGTTTAAGTTCAGTAATGTTTGACTTGAGAGCTTCAGAATGAACCTCCAAACCGGAGATACGCATGTGCATGTCCACGCTGTGTGAAAGAGATGCATGGACTGGCTCTGTCGGGTTGAAATCTCGTAGCTGCACACTGCCTATTCTGTATACTCTCCCACGACTTGTCTTACTGCGCTGTAAAAAGAATCAAATAGACAAAATCAGAGACAACACAGTCAAAAGACGCACAACAAAAATAGCAACTCAAGTTCTTATTCTCACAAACACAAATGCATATAAGATACATACTCAACTTAAGTAAATGGCAATAAGTTGAAACGAGTTTACATAGAGTCAAAACCATATCTCTAATTATCGACAAACAGCGACTAAAGAAATCAGTGAGTTATTTTCTTGTACCTTGAGAAATTCTTGGTTAGGGAGAATGCGAGAAGGAGTTGCAGAGGTGTCTTAACTGGAAGAAATAGGAGATCCATCAACAGCTGTCATCTTTGCTACGGCTTCCAATATTTCAAGGATAAAAGTCTCAGATCGACATCAATGAAACTTCCATCTGATCATGTTTGTGTCTTCCGCACGAGATCGGTTTAAAGCGGTGGTTCATAAAGACTACACTCCACCATCTTCAAAACAAATTTAAAACAAAGAGATAAAAAAATAAGTAGAAAATATAATATATTAAATATTTAAAAAGGGAGACAAAGAAATTCATTTACCATATCATATTCGATCTTAAAAAAAAATTGAGGACCTGCACAATGCTTGTGCATCCTTTTTTATGAGGGTTTGATTTGGGAGATTCAGCCACTGACTTGCTCCTTTTACAGGCTAGTTCTGTTGACCAAAACTCCAGCAGAGTGGTCCAGTCAGCTTCACTTATGTACTTAGGCTTCTGGTTTAGTCTCTTCTTCTTGCTAATTTTTTGACATATTGTAGTATGTGTGTGCAATTTCCAGAGACGGTAGACATTGTCCTTAATACGATCCTCCCAGTAGTAGTTTTGCTAAATGAAAAAAAAAGAAACATTAATATTTGTATGGTAGCACATAACAGTTAGTAATTTTTGAGAAACAAGCACTTACCACAAAAGTCTGCCACCACTTCTCTTTCCTATCATCAAAAACGGATTTCCAGCTACTACATGGTCCTATATAGTAGCCTTGCCAAGTTGTTCGGATGAATTTGTGGACAGAGGGGTCGTGAGATAAGAAGAATTAGAGTCAGAGATGACAAAACATTATCTGAAGAAAGAGGAATACTCGATTTTGTAGAAAACTTGCCTTAAAGCGCCATTATGTTTCCTTAGATGAAGTTGTGACTAAAGCTCTCTGGACAGAGCATTCAGTAATGCTTCTAGGATAATACGGGATAGCTATGAGCAGCTGAAAAAAAATTGCTTGTAGGTCCAACAGCTCTTGGTGGCATGGTACGAGCTGAAGCGCCTGTAAATCCAACAGCTCCTAGTGGTGGGGGAGGACCTGAAATGATTCTAAATCTAACAGCTCCCAGTGGAATGATATTACCTGTCAAAACAACAATAACTTCATGTCAAAACAACAATAACTTAACTCAACAGAATTTTGAAGAAAAATAACATACACACTCACGGTAAACACAAACACACACACTCAAGATTTTAGCAAACTTATACACACACTCAAGGTAAACACATACAAACACTCAAGATTCTAGCTAAGCACATACACACTCTCACACTCCAAACATGGGAGAGCTAATCGAAACTTAACTCTAACTTCAAACATGCGAGAGCCAATCGAAACCCAAAAACTCAATTCGAACTCCAAACATGCAAGAGCCAATCGAAACCCAAAAACTCAATTAGAACTCCAAACAATCGAGACCCATTTGAAGCAAGGGTTTTTGAGGCCCTGGTTATCAGAGTAATCTTTATCCCCAAATCAGATGTAGTATAGGGTCTTAGGTGTCAAACACACTTGTGGATATTGAGATACAAACAATGATGTAAGCTAAGTGAGATTAGGCATTTTGATTGTAAAGTAGTGATTCTAGCAACCTAACAATGCAATAAAAAGAAAGCAGAAATCAAATGCAAGTTAACAAAGACTAAACAATGAACCCAAAGCAATAACTAAGCAAGAACTAAATGAGAAAGACAATTTAAGCAATACTAAGCAAGATGATCTTAAGACAATCAGTAAAAAGCAAGACTCAAGGTTCTGAGAAATTGTGGGAATAATGGCTTTCAAGAGTGACAAAGGGGATTTCTAGCAAAGACAAACATCAAGCATTCCTAAGCAAGAAATTCTCAATCTTGTACTCCTAGACAAGGTATCTAAAAGGAATCAGCTTGGCGTCAATAAGCGATTCATATTCAATAAGATTGAAGTGTCAAACCCACTTGTGATAGTGTATTATTCAACCATGAGCATAAAGATCAGAACCATTCTAGCCTAAGAGAAGTACTAAGTAAGTAAACAACTCTCACCCAAGCAATAATTCAGATCAACCTATCAATCTTGTGAACCATATAGGGATCTAGTTAGCTAAGCACCAATCAAGAATATGGACTTAAGCACACAATTGTGAAATTCTAAGAATGATAAGCAATGAAGAGGAATCAAACGAAGGCAAAATCTTTCAATGCATACTATCTAGCCATCAGGCAAGAATCTCAAAACCAACACTATCTAGCCCTAAGCGAATCATCTAGCAAGGTGAACTATCGCTTTGGTGTCACTGAACAAAGGAAACATAGACCAAGCTAAACTATCAAGGTAAAAGAGCCCACCATGCATAGAAATGAGATATCAAGACATCAAGTAAACCATATGCATCAATCAATATCATACTCAATCAAAAGGAGCAAACTTTATTAACAACAATCACTTTGCAAGAGAAAGAGACAACAGAGAATAAACTAATTAAGCCTAATCACCCCTTAATCACATCTTAATCACTCTTTTCCCAACTTATAACCCTAAATATAAGGTAAACTAGTCAATAATTATGTTTAATGCATTAGTTTAGAGTTAAATATGATTGGATGAGATTAAAATGCAAAGATAAGAAATCTAGACTACCAGGGTGCTAAAACAAAGATTAAGAGATAAGATTAAACTATAAAAGTGCAAACCTTATTAAAGGAAATGATTCTAGAGCAAATCGCCTTTTAAGGTTCAAGAACAAGATGAAAGGAGAAAGTTTTTGATAGATAGACTAAGATGACTTAAAGACAATGTTTTGCGGTTTTCCTTTTATAGTAGAGAACCAAAAGAAGGGGAAAAAAACCTAAAAATAAGATATGGTCAACGAAAATCAGATGGTCAAGGCGCGGATAAGTTGCATCGGGGTTGTACGGACGGTGTTCTGCCCGATGTACAACCCCGATATGGCTCGCACAGCGCGTATCCGCTTCCTTGCTCGATGTTGGACCTCGATGCGGACACCAAAGGCTTTGACTCCTCGAACCGATCCTCTTCCTCACATCCTGCGGCTTACATCGAGCACACTCCACATAGGTTTTGCTCGATATCCTTGCTCGATATGGGACCAGACTTTGCAAAAGCTCCTTCTTTGATATCCTCTTTGAACATGAGCTGCTTTCATCTCCTCCTCAACTCCAAGAACCTCCAAAAGCACCTGAAAATCACCACAAACATGAACATGTATGCAAATGTATGTAATCCTAAACTAAATGCATGTAATGTTGATTCTAAGTGCAAATGAGACTAAAATGCTAAACTATAATACAAAAAAAGGGAAAAGATGTATGAAATGCAGCCTAAAATTCTCTAATATAGCAAGCTATCAACACTCCCACACTTAGATTTTGCTTGCCATCAAGCAAAGAAACACTTAACATGGTGATGAGGTTTTAAAATGGGAACTTATATCTCTACAAATGCTAAGAATAAATCAAAATGAAGTCCATGTTCTTAATTCTAGAGTGCACTTGATGGAAGAATACATTAAACACTTAGCCACTTTCATCACAATGCAAGAATGATCACAATGCTATCAACCTACACATGCTCATAAAATCAAACAACCTTTTAAACATTCAATTAAGCTCAAACCTTGAATCATGCTTATGCAAATGCAAATGTGTCATTTGGCTAAGGGACAAGGCTTAGTGGAATCAAAATAATTTCACTTTTCAAATAGGTTTTGGTGTTTAAGGGGTTCTCTCAAGGAAAAGCATGGTTGTGCTTTGGCAAAATGCTAAGGGTCAAAGAACAACTTACACATATAAAGGAAGACTCTCATCTACCCAAGACCTATAAGATATGTTCCTACCTCTAGCTAATTAATGTAAACCCGTCTATGCTACCCTTTCTAAGAACTTTTAAACTTTTTTTAGAAACCCAAAAACTCTTCTCTTTCAAGGGTTTTGGAGGACACTTCTTCTTTTGAACTTCAAGTGGTGGCAGTTTGCTTACTTTGAGTTTAGCTCCTTTATTTGGTAATGCTGGTGCTTATTTCGCCTTTGGCTTTCTGATTTACTTGCTTTGCACTCGTTGCATCTTCTTTGCATCTTTGAACATGAGCCCTCTTTTCTTTTGAACTTAGAACCACCATTTCCACTATTGCTTGTGTCACACTCCTTTTCTTTTTGCCTTGACTTCTTTTCTTCTTTGCTTCTCTTAAAAACTAACCCAAGATAAATCCCAAACCATTCCCCAAAACATCCTAGCCTATCTAACTCAAGAGTGAGCTAGTTCAACAATGGAAATACTTCCCTTGTAGTTCCAACCCAACATTTTTTGGTAAGCAACAACCATGAAGGAAAGAGGCCTCACAAATCACACACTATTAATGTCTTGGCTTGAAAGGAGGTTTTGTTAAGGGTGAGGAAATATAAATGGATCTTTTAGAGAGTGGCAAAAGAGAATAAGAAGATCCAAATATTTTAAACTACCCATGACATCAATCACAAATGCATAAGACATGATAATTGAAAATTCAAATTAGGTTCCACTTAAACAAAGGTTGAAATCATTTCAAAGCATGCTTCAGTCTCCAACAAAGTGCACACAAATGAAAATTCCATAAGTGGTTCAGATTTATTTCTAGTTCAATATCAAATGCACCAAAGGACTAAAAACAAGGGCTTCATTTTCATAAACTACTAGCATTAACAAATATGTACTATCATAGTTCCCAATTTAAGCAAGCAAGCTAGTCATATATGAATGCATGAAGTCTAGATCCTATATGAATGCATAAAAATCAAACTCTTTTTGTGAAGCAAATTTTGAAATATTTTCAATTTTTGGGTTTTTTCTATGCCTTAGATGCTATGTAAAACATGACGCATGGTTTCTAAACTAATATGCAAATGCAAGCATTCGTCCATCATACACCCTCCACCACACTTAAGTTACACAGTGCCTGTGAAAAAAATGCTAATGAGAGTGCTCACAAACATTAAGCAAACAATCACATAAACTCTTAAAAACAATTGTGGTATGTACAATGGTTAGTGTGGTTTACTTTACTTCATGTGGAGGTGTGGTGAGAGTCTGAACTCTCAATGGCATGGGAGGGAGAAGATTCTTCCTCTGAAGGAGTTTGCTGTCTAGGCCTTCTCTTCTTTCCTTTGCGCCTTGGAACAGCTACATGGGATGAGTGTCTGGCCGGTTCAGCTACATGTGTCCTTGGCTGCTCACTGATGTGGAAAGAATGTCTCTCCTGGACTGTGGCTTCTGGTGTGTTCTCAGACATATCCTCAGAATCAAATCCTCCTCCTTGTGGTTCTACTTGAACCGCTTGATCAGTTCTCTTGGCTGATGAAGATCCGCCCAACTTCTTCTTGAGCTTCCTCACTTTCTTCTTCAAGAAGTCAACCGATTTCTTGCTAGCTTTAACAGTCTTTAGCAAGCTTCTAATGGCCTTATACTGTAAGTGGTTCCACCTCTGAAGAAACTTAATATGCTTATGAGCAGCCTTTGAAGCTTCAGATGTGCAGATCACATCATAAGGATCAAATGCATAAGGGCAGCTATCATAGTCTTCATGTTCATCCGCCTCTCTCCCTTGATGCTGAACCTCTTGTTCTTGATGCTGTTCTCCAACATCTTCTTCCTCATCTGAATCTCTGGTAGTGCTCATGTTCTTAACCTTGCTTGGCCTCATCAATGGAGGGTCAATCCTAGGATCATAAAGCTCATCTTCTCTTGGCATGAAGCGGATGTTCTCATAAGTGGTGAAGTTGGTGAGGCGCTACCTTGGCAAAATGATCTTCCTATTCCTATTCTCCAGCTTAATCTGATATCCAAATCCGGTTTCCACAGCTCCTTAGAGGTATCCAATCTTGCTGAGATAGGGGAAATCAATGAATATCATGGTAACATCTGGTTTGCCTAGCTCAACTCGAGCACTAAGCAAGATGGGAGTGATCACGCCTCGAATGGCTAACTTATGCTTCTTCTCTCTTGTGTTGAAAGCCTATTGTTGGCAAGATAGGAACTGCTTCATTAGGACTGTCACAAGACCAACTCCTAAGCACTTTTCATGAATCTTCCCATGCCTTGTCTCCATCATGATGTTCTTCAAGCCATTCACAAGTAGCCCCATTTCTTCTTCCTTGACCATATTCTGCTATTTTCTGTAGACGAGTGTGCTGGCGAGGACTCTATGAACATATCTGATAGCTGGATGGTGGATACTAGCACTCTTCAGATGACCAGCTCTATAGGCATCATTCGCTATCTCCTCCCC